GTCGTTTGTGCCGACCATGCGCGCGCGTTGGAGAGACTCGAGGCTGTTGAACGGTTCGATGGGCAGGTCGCGGGCTAGAGTCAGCGGGGTCTTGAAGCCGACTGTGTAGATCTTGCCCACGCGCAGGGCTTTGAGGGCGTATATCACGCTGGCTGCGTCGTCGGACGAGGATGCTAGGACTACCGCTGCGCGGCCAAAGTAGGCTGACGGCGCGAGGTCGCGGGTTAGGGTGGAGAGGATGCCGCGCCAGGAGGCGTTGTCGAAGATGAGGGATGTGTTGGGCGGGTGGTTTGAGGTGGTGGAGCCGTGGGTGCCATAGGAACCTGCGTGCCGGTGGCGAGGGCTGGAGGGGACTGATGCTGGCGCTGACGAGGCGGAGCTCGAGGAGCCGGACTGGACCATGATTGTGTCGATCATACCAATTACTCTGGCCGCTTCTGTGAGTATTGGACCGGCGCCATTGTTGACGGACTGGAAGAAGGGGCTGCTCCCGACAATGCTGTTGTAGGAGACTGGAGGGTTGAGGTAGGCGCCGCCAAAGTTCCTTTGGTTGCACCACGTGTCCAAAGCTGTGCTCCTCGGCTGCCTCTCAACGGAGGCGAACTGATGCGGTAAGCCTAGCTCGTTGAAGCACTTCTCGTAAAATGGGGCCTGAGAAGCTGCGGTGCGAGACGAAGAACTGCCGATCCCGTAGATGCTCTTTTTCGGTAATTGGCCGAGGAGAGCGAGGGCCTGGTTGATCTCTGCAGCGCTCATCTGACCAGGAGCGGCGATGATGGGGAGTAAGGGGTGCGTGATTGGGGTGAAGACTCGGTTCAGTGTGCGCGAGAACTGTCCTGTCTCACCCATGTTGACGGCTGACAAAGGCGGCGAGTCCGGATACTCGGAGCGTATCTTGGAGCGGAAGTATTCTAACTCAAAGTTTTCGTTGTGGTCGTTGATGATTGCAATCATTTTGACAATATCTGCGTATTCTCGTGATTTTAAGAAGACCTCTTCTGCATGTCTGGATGGCCATTTGAACGTCCCAGAGAAGTCGTGGAAAGCAGACATAATTCTGCTGCTCCCGCGCTGTTCGTAAAGCTTCTTCCTGATAGAATCAGGCAGCCATATTTCGACGTCGATATATTCGACACCCCACTGTATCGCTCTATACAGATACTCCCAGTAGAGATTGGGGTTGTCCATAGGAAATCGGCCATTTTCCGCCGTACATCTCGTGGTGAAGATGAGCGGCAGCTCAGTCCTCTGCCGGAGCAGCATCACTTGCTCACCGACATAGCTTAAACTGGGAATAGGTGCGAAGTTACCGTCCCCAAGAGGTTCCTTAAGGAGGTCGACACGGATTTCGACCGCGTCTGCACCGACCGTCAGAATGTCCAAGTTCGGAAGCGCCGCACTGACATCAGGAAATGTGGTTGAGATGAAGTAGGTCCGGGGTTTCGCCATCAAAGTCTCGTGATGGTTCAGTTGTCCTAAGACGTGCGACGTGAACCTCGACAGGTCGCGCCGGAAGAAAGGAGTGTCCGTGTACAGGAACTCATAATCGCACTCGGCAGAGAGAAGCGTATCTGGAGGCATCCCCAAGTTGACGCAATGCGCATGAATGGCCACAACCAAGCCTCGATCTCTCCTCGTAACGTCGGCTTTTGCCTGGTCCGCCAGGATGCCGATAACAAAGTCCTGGTCCGTTGAAGTGATGCTGTCGAAGCCAGCTTTCAACCGAGAGGGTTTTCCAAGAACCTCCGCAAACACAGACACAATCTTGTGGTGTCCTGGGCTGTACATGATGGCCACTATCCTGGTGTCACCTCTCTGTGGCCCACTACCGAACGTTGGCCGAGCTCTCGACCGTGGCATTGCCCCATCCATGTCGACGTCCATATCATGACTGCTCCCATTCATACTCCTCGGCCGAGCCGGCGTTGGTATTGGCTCGAGCTGCTGAACGGTCGCCATCTTGCTTCGTTATGCCGACGGCGGTTGAAATAAAAAAGTGTGGTCCTCCTCCTACCGCCGAGGCACCGATTTGCCGTTCGTCTTTCCCAAAATTCCCAGTTAGACGTCTTCAATACCAGAGGTACTGGTCTTGTGTACCCTGTTTCAGTATCGGCGGTGCGTAGCTGGCGATTGAGCAGGTTGGCATGGCAGTATGTCTCGACCGAAGAGATGGCTAAGTGGTCCGACCACAACGGGATAAGTCTGTATGTACCTGGAGATCTGCCCGCGCAAGCAGCCCCGAAAATGCAGCGCGAGTGCCGAACTAAAGCAACTAATCGGCGACAAGGATCAGATCTATTGAAGAGCAGTCATGGGCGTTGAAAAGATGTTGCGCTCCCACTGTGTCGTTTGCGACTGTGGTGATCTCCAGCAGTGGTGGGTTGTTGAGCTGCGACCTAGAGATTGATAAGAGTCGGCGGAGAATCTCTAAGTGGTCCGGAACTGTTGTGCCAGTCTACCTTGTGTTAAGCAGAAGTTGGAGCAGCCGTGTCTCTAGTACACCCACACATGGGTCCTTCACAGCTTGGCAATTGTAATATGTCGTCGGCTCGTGATCCAGCCTTCGAGCCAGCCTAGTTGCGCCTCCGCGAGGGTCTCCTCACAGCCAGAGCGAAGCCGGTTCGATCGGACTAGCTTGATAGATGTACACGCAGAAACCTAAAGGCCATGCATGGGCAAGGAGCGGTTTTGAACGAAACAACGCCGTCTAAACGATAGCGTTGCAGACGGGCAAAGGATGGAGCGGCGGTTCGAGACCAGGTAACAAAAGTTCACAGTCGCAGTGCCAAGAAAGTAGCCGAAATATTTCGCCGACTGCTGGTTTTACCGTCTATTGAACAGCTGGAACGGTGATCTCCATCTGACCCCAACAGGGCAATAAGCAGGCCAGGGGTCGCTGAGGTCTGAAGATGGGGACTGGTCCAAGACCGCGGAGTGAGTGGATAGCGCAATCAAGTCGCTGCTCACCAGTGTCAATCCGACGACTGTAAGTGGAGGGAAAAGTCGCGGACACAAGACTTGGCCGCTTTCCGCCGGGCTTGTCGAGACGCCGTAACTGTACCCGACCACTGTCACTTGTGGAATGGGATGTGCGGTGGATTCTGTAACGTATCCGATCCACGGCAGCTCCGGGCACCTGGCTGATATGGTGTTCGTGTTCCGGGCGGGATGTCGATGTCGACTTCGACTTTTGATGCTAGGCCTGGCCTTGACTGATGTGCCTGGAGCCACTCACATGGTCCTCAAGAGGTACAGTGGTGAAGGAGGCAACTTCTCGCTGTTAACCTGGATCCTTGCTGCTTGAGTTGGTGTCTGGAGCCAGTCCAAGTTAGGGAGAGTAGCTCGCTGTCCTCGGTAAGACGACCGAGATATTCTAGCAATCGGCTGGTAAGGTTGGAGAAAATGGGACAACCAAGCGACATGCTGATGAGCCAAAGGCTCAGTTCGGAAGGGGCGGTGGTGGGGTAACCACTCACGGTAGCTTGCAGAGACCGGGGGCAAGAACATGCTACCAGGCTACCAGCGGGGAAGGCGCCACTGGGGTCCCCCCGCTATGTGCACTAGCGCCCTTGCCGCATTCTCCCCATTTCTGGACTTTAGGGACTCTAATTCTCCGCCAATGAGAATAATTCCTTTTTCGGTTCCTAGGTTGCTACTCCGATTCGCAAACGTCCCGAGTTCCTTTTTGGAGAATTTCCAACTCAAAGCACCATCTCGACGTCTCGATCTCGAACATCGTCAAGAGCGGCAATGCAGCGCGACAAATCCAAGCCGAAGGTGGCGCTATCGCTCGGGTTGCTACATGGGACGCATCTTTTGCAACTTTCTCATGCTCGGTAGCTGGGAGTGTCAATATGCGCTTTAATCTGGAATAATACCAGAGTCCCATGCTATGGCTTCCACGAGCACTTCAGGCTAAATCGGGATGGTCCATGGCATGTAACATTGCACCAGGCTTCAGCCGTCTTGATACCTGCGAGTACCTTGCTACCAGAGAGGCTTGAAGCAGGTTGATGCTTCAAGCAGATCACCAGCTTCGCCTAGACCCTAGGCCACCTTCCACTGACCAGTCTCGTAAATATCCGAGCCAGGACAGCACTAGGAATATCTAAAACGATCACATCGTGCCTCGGATTACGGATAACTAGATACTGGAGTAATACGGAGGAAGCCACAGTCACCTATCTTTGCTCTATCGGCAACTTCGGCGTGTCTTGCCCGTCGGGCGGCCCATCTCGGTTCCGGTACATGTATGCTGCGGACCATGCTCCGGACACGAGATAAGAACAACTGCTTATCTTTGTGATGCCCTTGATGGCGGCATGGTGGACATCTGACTGTGAGGTGAGCCAAGAGTTCACAAGAGCGACTACACTGCGCTGCCTCTCCACCCATGTGCTCGGGCTCGGAAACGAGCTGTTCTTCGCAAGCCTGATCGCATCATGTCTGATCCGTGTCATGACATCCATGCGATACCGATATCAGCCAAGCCTGAGCATCACTGGCGGGAAGAAGTTGTCGCGGGGTCGCATCGGGATCATCATGGGCGTTCGATACCATCCCGGGGTAAGACCACCTGACAGTTTGCGAGTGTGGTACTGGCGCTCTCATCAGACGGACAAACGTTGACTCCTATGTTCGCAACACTTCGTCTTTCACATATCATCTGGCTCAGGAGCCGCTCCCATAATCTATACTCCGCTAAACACATACTCAACATTATTACCCACACTCTTGCGTTTTTACTAATACTAGTTACTACTTATAAGGTCAATTATAAGGGTCGGCAGAACGATAAAAAAAGGAAAAAGTGAGTGGAGTGGGATTCGAACCCACGCATCTTACGATACTCGAATGCTCCGTGTCTTTACGAGACAGAAGTGTGTCAACACTTGAATCGAGCGCCTTAGACCGCTCGGCCATCCACCCTTTTGATTGCTGATGATACTACTTCAAAGGTCAATTATAGAAGTCGGCAGAACGATAAAAAAAAGAAAAAGTGAGTGGAGTGGGATTCGAACCCACGCATCTTACGATACTCGAGTACTTAATGTCTTTACTTAAATCGAGCGCCTTAAACCACTCGGCCATCCACCCTTTAGTTGTTAAGAAAATATTCCTTAATTACGTAACTACTAGTAAGCTGTATGTTAGTTTCTATTGCTAGTTCGAAGACAACTGTCACACGACAGGAAGACCCTAGCTATAGGCTAGCTTAGGCCCGCCACCTATAGGTAGTAGGAGCTCTCCTTTTCTAGAGAGGAATCAACCTTTTACAACCTTACATCTGAACCCCTACCTTGGTGACAAGACCAACCATATCCTATAACAAGGATCATGTTACGAACCAACTATGAGGAGGGGTTAGGGACCCACATGTACAAAGGCGGCGGATGCGTCTAACCGACACAAGGACCGACAAGGACCGGCGGTGGTCCTGGGCGGTCCGAGGACCGACACGACAAGCACGGCGGTCTGGGTCAGGATCGACATGTTCAACACGGCGGTCCTCGAAATGTACAAGTCTATATAAGTGAACGGTCATTATAGCTAGATAGTTAACCTTAAGGGCGGCAGCGATTAAGGTTTACAGTTCAATACCTTGAGTTGCCAACACCTGCCTTGTTGTTGCCTTCGTTCGGATTCTTGGGGGCCGACGGTACGCCCATAGCGTTCGACAACCAACTCAAACCGAGAGTGTCGTGGCCTCTCTGGCCCCCGGACCTTTGACTCGGAGTCAGCGGCGTGGGTAGAATTGGAGGATACGTTGCTCCATCGACTGGGCGATCCGCCCCTTGCAGCAACCTGCGGCTTTTCGGGGATGGAAAGACTCTCCCCGCTCATCAGCTTCCGCTTCTTCAATGGGTGTTCAAAGTCAGGGAAAGGGGTCTGTGTAGCTCTGCCATCCACGCTACTCGTGTCACCCAGCTGCTACGTGGAAGCTAGTAAACCTCGAGGTGGCGCTAGAAGTATCACTTCGATGTCGCCTTCATCGACCATTCCTTTATCGATCGTTATTCTGGAACCCGGTAGCCGACGATCTAGCTGGCAAATCTTTGCGAGGCGAGAAATGTGTATGTCTAGGACGGATATTCGACGCGAGCGGATATCCTCCGAGAGTTCCTATTCTCGGAGGAGAGACTCGTCACTCGGCGTGGCACTGATGGTAGTGATTCTCCTGAGGTCAGACGAGCTCCATTCCAAGGACACCTGATTTTTCAGCGCACTGAAAACACTAAAGAACTCGGTTCCTTCAAGAATGGCCGTTGCGTTGTCAATGACTTCCCTGCAGAGATCCAAGCGATCGGTTGTAGTTGTGCGTGGAAATCGCAACATTCGAACCGCGACATCAATATGTACCCATGTGGCGACCCAGCTATACCAGTAGACCTTAAGCTGAGCGAGAGACTGCGAGGTCCTAGCATTGAAACCGGGATGCAGGTGAGGTATCACAATCGTGGTTGGGTGTTCGGCGGGTGCAATGACTATTCTCGCCACTCCAGCCTCAGCTAAACAGTTTCTAAACGGCTCGGGTTAGCAGTTGAGTATCGACAAAATACATCAAGTAAACTGGTGTCCTTACTGGAGTGGTTTGACTTGCTGATTGCACACCCATCCAGCGACCTTGTTCCCTAGTGTAGCTACAACAAGAGGCTTCACGCTTGCGAGCCATGAATTTATCGAGCCCTAGAATACAGTGAACGTCAGCACTTTAACTGCCCGGTCATTTAGCGTGAAGAAGCTCGAAAAGGGCAAACAAACTCGTGATGGTTGCCGTTGTTGTGCCTCAACATTAGGCCAGTTGTAAAGCTGATTAAAGCTTATGAGATCTTCAAACGTCTTCAGTGAGGAATGGTCGGCCTCGGCATTCTCTTCCAGCTGAGCCATGGACAGAAGTATATTCCGAATGAACTCTCCAGTGGCACGGTTGCCACTGAGTAAGTGACTTCCATCCATCACTGTTTGCCAGGGAGGTTCCAATCCGCATATGGCAACAATGGATGTGCCGTTTATCTGTTTCGCAACAGCCTGTTGGATGGTGCTGTCGATATAAGGCTGATATGTCGCTGAGGCCGCACGATCAATGTCTTTCCAAACACTCCTGCGGGTGCCATCCCACCAGTCCTCGAAAAGTCCATTGACATGACGAACGATTTGGCCACTCTTCGTCAGTTGGCATTTGTCAAGATTCGCAAGAAGGGATGAGTTGCATTTGAGGAAAACGCACTCATCTACCAGGTCTAACTTTATAGCAGCGGACCTCCCGCCGCGCGGTCTGTTCAGCAGGGTCCGAAAGCCAAAAAAACCCGATCCAAGCACGCTCAGACAGATCACCGAGTGTTTGGAAAGCCTTTCGGTAGAGGCGAGCACTTTGCTGATTACCCGTTGACAAATCAGGGATGCAACTGCGGGTGATGCTGAAAATCCGATGGGACTTGGCAGCTTCTGGGAAGAGACGGTGGATTGTCGTGAGGAACGCCCCGAGGAGGGAATTCGGACGAGGAGGTTTGCACAGGTATCGTCTCCATGGATTGTTTGGCGCACAGGTTCTCCCAACATATCGGACTGTAATAACAGATTGATCGTCAAAACCGCTCCGTAACGCGTCTCTCCATCCGTTGATGTCTTCCTCAGGTTGACCTTGACTTGAGAGGTCTTCGATGATCGCCTTAAATTGCCACATAGGCACTGACCAGGATCTGAAATAGCAAACGACTCCCGAGGTAAGTGGAGGGGAGTCCTTGTGAGACTCTTCGAATCGCAATATTTTCAAGATGTCTGAGTCCGAGACTAAGAGAGGCTGAGACAGCCATCGCCGAAGGATGGAAACGACATCGTCTGTGATGTTTTGTGACGTATCCTGACCGTGCAAATATTGCAGTGAGGAGAGTAGTTTTTCGAACATGATACTAGCGTCGAAGGAACCGTCGATTTCCATGACAGACTTGATATTGAGACGAAAGATAGCGTTGTATCGCGCATGATGACAGACGGTTGACATGACCCTGCTCCAAGGGCCCAATGCTCCTACTTCTGGTGTTGCGAACGACCCGTCCCTGGGCACAGGCTGTACTTCCGCTGAAACTGGATCTTCTCGGTCTTGCTCGAATATCGGACTGGTACTGCGTCGCCTCTAACGGCGGCGCGGGCTCGAGTTTGGGCTATAAACATATGCCATCAGGTACACATGACTCTCAGTTGAGGATCGAACAAACCTGGGAAGGCTTGATCGGGTTGATCTCGCCAGGATCAATTTGACCCGAAAGTGGCATCTTGTCTTGAGTCTTATCCGAAGCCTGGGGGTTGTTACGGCGTGGGTAGTTGAATGCGAGCAGCGAGTGGAGGTAAAACTCCCGCTGAAACCCGACCAACAGAGTGTATTATTATCTTAAGCTGAAGAAGAAAAGAGGAAGAAGTTCTACAACGGCGGCAGAACCTGTTCGTTACCTTATATACAGGTGCCTAGGGGCAGTGAATGCCCTGAACCGCAATCCACCCCACTGTCCTTCTACTGAGCTGTCTCCTTCACTGGGTTTCCTTTGTTCCAGGTGGTGAAAGCCACTCACCGCGTTGAGTCAACAGTTCCTTTGTTCCCACTGTGAATCCACCTGCGCCACAGCGCCACAACCTAGCCACAGCACCGAGATCCGAGGCTGCCATTTCTTGGCCCCAAAAGGACCGATTTTGGACCTCCAAGATCCAGTAGACAAGATATATGATCGCCAGACTAGTACTCGGGTGGGTGACCACCGGGAATCCCTGGTGTTGTACGTTTTGCTTTTTTTTTTTTTTTTTTTTTTTTGCTATCCTATATCCCTGGTATGCTGGCGTAGACACTTGGCCTGAGTTGTCTATTCACAGCATGGCTCTGCCAACACATATTTCATGAAGACCGTCAATCCAGTAGCATAGTCTGTATAACCCACCAGGTACTATGTAATCAATCATAAGCCAGCTCGCATTATTACATCGTAGTCCTTCATCGAGTGAAACATATTCCAATCACACCCTTAACCACAGCCACGGGAAACCTGCTACCCCCAGAAAACAGGCAAACACCACAAACGCCCCTGACACACAACCCCACAGGAAAGGGGTAACATCCATCAAGCGAATCAAGCAGCAACAGTCCCAGCCCTACCGCCCCTCGCAGCAGCACCCCTCCTCTGGTCTTGCCCGGGCCGCTTGAGCGTATACTTGGCAAACGCGCGCGCAAGAGCCTTCTTGCAGCTGACCTTCTGGCTGCCGACAAAACTGTCGACCGTCACGGCGATGGCCCTGTCCATGTCCTGGGCCGAGCAGTACTCCGACAGCCGCATGCGACAGAAGGACTCGCTAATGCGGATGATGGCTTCCAAGTGACGGACCTAAGACATATTCGTTAGTGATTGAGTGACAAACTGAGTAGCGAAGAGGAAAACATACCGTAATCGGGTAAGCACCGGTAGCCAAACTCTCCTTCCTCATATCGGCGAATAGCCGTGCAACCTTGTCCTCGTCCATATGGTACAGCTTAGGGGAGCACCTCTCCCGCGCGTAGAGGATGTACTTCCGCAGCAGCTCCTGCGGAATCTCGCCCTCCTTCTTCCGCGACCGCTCATCGACCAGTGTATTGGAAGCTCGCTGGGACTCATACTCGACATCCATGCTCTCCTCCCCCTGGCCCTGAGACAGCGGATGACTCCGGCTGTGAGACCCGACGATGAACCGCGCCAACCTCTCATCCTCTTCCGGCTCAACGGTATCACGCACCACGCACAGGATATCGAAACGCGACAAGATGGGCTCCGTAAGCTCCACGTTTGCGCTGAAAGGAATGGTGGAGTTATACCTGCCTCCAATAGGATTGGCAGCAGCAATGATGCCGCAGCGCGCCTGCAGCGTAGTAACGATACCCGCCTTGCTGATAGAAATGGTCTGCTGCTCCATGGCCTCGTGGATAGATGTCCGGTCCTGGTCATTCATCTTGTCGAACTCGTCGATGAGACAGGTTCCCTTGTCCGCCAGGACCAAGGCGCCGCCTTCGAGCGTCCACTCGCTGGTCAGCGGGTCCCGACGAACACTAGCCGTCAGACCGACTGCTGACGCGCCCTGGC